TCATAGGTGATGTTAACATAGTTAATATTGTATTTATACAGAATCTCTTGATGAGTGTCATATGGCTCGAATCAGACAGCGGTGTCTGGAGGAATCTGCACGCCGAATTAAATCACCATATGCCATATCTTGTTTGGAAACTGCACGTGTTTCCTATTGCATTTATGAAGAACAGGTTTACTGTGACGAAGAAGATGTTTATGAACCAGAAAGTTACCCTCAAGTTCAGTATTTAATCTCAGGAAACTGTAGATATTATCATCAACCTACAGATGTCCTCGAAGCAGCCAGAACATGGCGTGAAAATAATCCTGAATACTTTCAATATCGTATACGTCATGGTTCTGAAACACCGTGTTCTGTAGTTGAAAGTTCAGCTACTTGTAATAAAAATAAGTATATCATCGCAATTATTGTACCAGTTATTTCAGTTTTATTGTTATTGTTTTAGAAATGCTTAGTTTATATATTTTATTGTATCTTATATTCTTTTTTGAGTTAGATGTCATGTGACTCAATAATCGCAATTGATTTGTACAATATTATCACGTGACAATTCCAAATTACACGAATCATAGTCGATTTGTATATCACGCGATCTAATAAGCGCAGTGAATTGTATATTACGTAACTCAATAATGATAGTTTATCGGTATAAGTGATTCATGCTATATTTAACATATGAACACATCAGGTGCCATTTTATATTCTTTTTCAAATATTTCTGTTAATTTGTCAGAGAAAAATAATTACGTAAATAAGTAAATATGACTATTTTCAAGCATTACAACATACGACATATATGATATATACAAATTAACGAAGTCAATAAATGGATATGAAACCATTTCTTTGTTTGTTTTCTTTGCATTTGTTTTGTATGTTTGATTCTATGCATGTAATTGTGAGTCACAGACTCTTCTTCCAGCTTTGCAAGTAGCGTTTTAAAGGGGATACACATCCGAGCGTACTTGACTATTCGAGTGTTTGATGTTCCTAAGTATTTTCGATCGGTAAAACAGGACCATATCACGCGAAAAACTCGTTAACATCACATTTAAAATGGCAGTTAATGTATTCAAAATGACTGTTAGAGTAATGTTGAAATCCTAAATGTTTAACCATTCTGTTGGTTTACAACCAGTAAACTGTAATTTGTCTCTCCTCAATAGTGGTATCATCATAACGATGCGCTAGTTGGGTCTTCTCTAATATTCCATCTGTACATTTGTTTCTGCATATGGTGGACTAGTGTGTTGGTGCTCAGACTAACAATAAGGTATGAAGTTAGTAGTGCGTCACCAACACTCAGACAAGCAATAAATTTATTGGTTGGCTGAGACCAACTTAATTAGTTTCATTTATTTGCTTACGGATGTTTATTAGCTGAATGCATAATGATTATTACCAGTAGTTTTGGTTTATTTTGTTCAGAGC